TAATGGGAGGACGAATGGGAGCTCCTTGCAGGGAGAAACCTCCCAGCCCTTACACGGTAAGTGTCTGTCTGCAGGACAAGAGTGCTGTGGTTCCTGGAGGGCTCTTTTGAACCTGGCCCCTYCCCCAGCTGATGGGATCTCTCAGGGTGGCTCTCCCAGCTTCTCCTGCTTGGAGCTGGTGGTGCTTTAGAGCAGGGATTTCCATCCAGACCATCAGAGGGACAGGGCTTCACGGCTGCCTTCTCCCCAGGACGGTGCAGGGGTGTGAAGCCAGCGAGTGCCCCCAGTTCGGCATGGGCTGTAATGCCGAGCAGTGTCCCTGCRCCCCAGGGTGCTGTGTGCCCAGGGCAGTGAGTGCCACCTGTGAGGGTCAGCACCCACCCTGCCTGGGAAATCCCCATGTGCTGCGGGGAGAAGGTCTGGGTGTGAGGAGAGACCCCCATGATGGCAGGTTCATATTGTGAAGGGGCCTTTTGAAGAGGACAGTGCAGGCAGTTAATGTTAAAGATGAGGAGATTCCCTGTGTCCTTGTGGTTGTGAAGAGCTGGGGGTGTATGGAAAGGAAATGCCAGGTGATAGCAGGAACCTAACACTCTAGTCCTTTCCATGGAGAGATGTGTGAGGAAGCTCAGCAAGTCCCTGTGCCCTGCCCTGACTGCAGACAGCACCAGCATCCCCTTGTGTGGCCTCAGCAGGATCTGTCTGACCTTGGTCCCTCCCACCCGCATACACGGAGAGGTCCCTGGCCAGGGCCCTGCTGCTGGATCCTGCTGTAGGGCAGAGTGAGTGTCCAGGGGGTGGGATGGGGTGTGTGGCATTGACAGGGAGAAGATGTGGGGGAGAGAAGCAGCTGCCAGCAGGAACTGCTCCATCCATGGAGACAGGATCAGTGAACGGGAGGGAACTAGAAAGGCAATTGCTGTGGGAGGGRGGATTTGGATCAGCCTTGKTCAGTCCCTGCAAAGCCAATGTCTTCCTCTCAGCAAAGCCCCTGTCTCCTCTCACAGCCCTCAAGGCCATGGGGTGCCGGTCATGAGCCCTGTCCTTGGTGGGAGAGGGGCTGGGTCTCTCCTGCAGCCTGGTCCTTTCCCACTGCAGGAGAAGGGCACTGAGGGTCTGTCCTGAGGTGTTGCTATCTGGATGRTGGGGCACATARCTTGGGGAGGTGAAGGTTTTACTCAGTGCTCCTCTGTGTGTTACTCCTTACTTTCCCTGGGAAGAAAATTCATACTAATGCTCTTCAATTCTTCACCTCTCCCTGGTGGTGTGGTTCTTGCTCCCTGGAGCTAAGGATGGGGACTCAGCTGCACTTAAGGCAGGAACTTCCSTCTCCCACTGCACTGCGTCAAGCAACAGGGAAGCCAAATAAAAGGATCAACTCGGGGTGAGGGGGAAATTAATCTCTCCCAAGGATATGGTCTTTTAAACAGGACTGTTATCACAGAATCACAGAATCACAGAAT